GTCAAGGCTGCAATGAGCCATGGTTGAGCCGCTGCACTTCAGTCTGGGCAACAGAGCAAGACCCTGTGCCAGAACAATAAACAAATAAAAACAAAATGACTTTATTCTAGAATCTGCTACTTTGTTACAACAGCCCAAGCAAACTGAGACACCATGTGAATGCCAGTTTTCCTTTACAATGAAGACAGTGGCACACATACCCCAGATGTGACAACTGTAGGATTCCATTTGAAAGGGCAGGCAGACCGGGCGCAGTGGCTCACACCTGTAATTCCAGCACTTTGAGGCCGAGGTGGGTGGATCACTTGAGGTCAGGAGTTCGAGACCAGCCTGGCCAACATGGTGAAACACCATCTCTACTAAAACTACAAAAATTAGCTGGGCATGGTGGCACATGCCTGTAATGCCAGCTACTTGGGAGACTGAGGAAGGAGAATAGCTTGAACCCGGGAGGTAGAGGTTGCAGTGAGCAGAGATCACACCACTGTACTCCAGCCTGTGTGAACAGGAGCGAGACCTCCATCTAAGAAAGGAAAGAAAGGAAAGAAAGGAAGAAAGGAAGAAAAGAAAGAAAGAAAGAAAGAAAGAAAGAAAGAAAGAAAGAAAGAAAGAAAGAAAGAAAGAAAGAANGAAAGAAAGAAAGAAAGAAAGAAAGAAAGAAAGAAAGAAAGAAAGAAAGAAAGAAAGAAAAGAAAGAAAGAAAAAGAAAGAGAAGAAAAGAAAAAAGAAAAGAAAAGAAAAGAAAAGAAAGAAAGAAAGAGAAAGCAAGCAGGCAAGCTAGGCACAGTGGAGCCATTGTGATTATCCTGTGGGATCACCTTGGGAGGCCAAGGTGGGTGAATCATGAGGTCAGGAGTTCGAGACCAGCCTGGTCAACATGGTAAAACTCCATCTCTACTAAAAATACAACAATTAGTCAAGCATGGTGGCTGGCACCTGTAATCCCAGTTAATCAGGAGGCTGAGGCAGGAGAATTGCTTGAAGCCAGGAGGCGGAGGTTGCAGTGAGCCGAGATGACACCAATGCACTCCAGCCTGGGTGACAGAGCAAGACTCCATCTCGAAGGAAAACAAAAAAGAAAAAAAGAAAGAGCAGGCAATTTTCACCTTACAGTAACCTATGACTGAGGATCTCAGTTGCCACCTCAACAGATTTTTTGTTTTATTCTTCAGTTATTCTTTGCCCCTGAGCAGAGACCAGACATAAGCACAAATCTGAGGGTTGAGCCCTGGGATGGAGGACAGGAACTGTCTTCTCACCACTGCCACCCTCTGGGAGCTACCATCTGCTTCTTCCAAGAATTGTCCTTACAGTGAGCGCCTTCCTTACCTGTTATTTTTCTTCTTCCTTGCAACAGGCAGAATTTATCTCTCCCCATCTTGATGTTGACAAAAGGTGATATTCTTTGCTAATTTGAAGTGTGATGAAACATACAGAAAAAAAAAGTTTTCTGATAAACATTCTTTGCTAATTTAGTATTTGGAAATCTGCTTATACCAAAATAATATGACATTTTTCCCTGTGCCTTTTATTTCCTCTAATAGAATTTTTTTCCTTCACAGAGGTGCATTCTTAAACATCAATTTCTCCACCTCACTTGGTAGATTGCTAGAAATCACAAATAAAGTTTGTAATGTAGTTATATTGCTTTCACTGAACATTTAAAATCCTTGAACAAAAATTTCATGAGGATTACACATAACCAAGCCCATCCCAAACTTTTTGAAGACTTCATTTGTTAGTCCCCCCATAGTTAATAAATATTGTATTTTTTCATGATGGTCACTTTTAATCATCATTCTGACTCATACCACTCAAAACTGTAGTTTAATTATATTAGTTTTCTCTAATATATATGTAATTAGTTATGTATTTAATTAACTTCCCTTCTCCCAAAATAGCAACCATCCTCTTTGATTAACCTAGCTGAGTCATGCAAAACCTTATGCTTATCTTG